TTTCCCAGCTTCTCTCTTACTGCAACCTCGCCTCGGTGGCTTTGATCGTCTGACAGTGAGCTCTCAAACCAAGTCTGGCTGTAGGAAAGAACATGGAAGCGCTGCGGCTGTGATTGCCACCCTCTCTAGACTTCCATATGCCATAGTTGTGCACTGGGCGACTCGTCCGCATCGACCAACTTCTTGATTAACGTAATTGCTCGTTCCTTTTACTCCCCGACGTCGGGCGCATTCCGAACACTACTCCGATAAGACTTTCGCGACGGTCCGCACTACGAAGCAGGAATTTATGAAAAAAGGCGCCTGTTCTGCAAATTTGATGTTAAAAGAAGAAGTAAAAGATGTGTGAATAATAAAAGTCTTGTAAAAATTAAAGCTAATAAATATGTGATGCATTTCATAGTTTCTCATGTTCTGAAAGAAACGCAGGCACTGCTCAACTATTACTATTCCGAAAAGTCAAACAATTTCTTAGTGGAACTTGGCCCATAAGGTTCGATGACTTTTGATGATGACAGGAGCATGGCATTCACTTGCGCAATCAGCGCTCTGTTAGGCACCAGTGCCATTTAGCGCTCTGATGAGGCTGTGCCTGGGAGAGGAAGAGATTCCCTATGGGGCAGGCAGCCCCAGCAGAAGACAATAGTAGTGTTCTCCATTCGTACCAACGGCAAGAATGGTGGTCATATCCGTAACCAGGATGTCTAAATCCCGTACACAAGTTTTCAGCTGACTCGGTGATTCTATGGTTCCTTTGCGCGGGCGCCAGGCAGCTCTAGGTTGAGCGGATGTGATGTTCGTGTTTAGGAGGTCGAACATATCGTACGCAGCACGAAACGTACCATTCCTTAGCTTTGAATGAGTTTACAAGAGTTTAGAAAGCGACCACATTCACAAGTGTTTACAAAACGTGGCGACGGACCCTTGTGGCGTTGGTTTTGGCGCGGCGTCAGCCCGCTTCCTAGTACTCATTGAACATTCGAAGGCGCAACGAGCTGTGGAGAAAGTGCTAACCAGCGCCAAAACTCATGTTCCATTGGCAGCCCCGACTGACTTTGGTGATAACGAGTGTAGACACTATGGCTTTCTGGTTCCGTGACAGAACAATACTTAGGTCAATGTTTTAATCAATCAATACATCCTGAGCAGCAATTTTCTCATCATCGCATGATCAATGTGACATGTTCGCGGAGCATATACTGTTACCATTTTCCGACTAAACATAAGAAAACCCGTATGAACGTGCACAGTAAAAAAATAAACAACTGGCAAGAACTAAATTACAAGGAAATCTAATCAATATGTCATCGTTCAACTCGATCACTCTACTCAAATGCCAGTAGTACGTTCGAGTAAGTGTAAGGTATACAAATAATGACACAAGCACATTATACAAAAACTACTATATGGCCTCTATGATGCTTCGCATTGAATTCCGTCAAAATAGACCGCCGAACCATCGTAGCCGATTTGACCGATGTGGCGATAATCGATGACGGAATCACGGAACAATTCGCATGTATTCATCGCACCTTTAGAAAGAAATTCTTTCATAACACATTTGGCAACTGTACATTGTGAGCACTGGAATCCAAAATGGAATTGGAGATGCTACGTGACTTAAAAGTTGACAAAAGCACACAAAACCGGTACCCTTGAAATATGGCGCCGATGATGTTCAGCATTGGAATAGCACAAGGCAAGTATGGACACAGAGGAACGAGCGAGACACAAGGTAGAAGAAAGCGAGAGTAACACAGCCGTCTATGCGAACGAGAAAATCGATGACAACGCCGCGTTTATGGTAGCTCACAGCTGTTTTGGGCGGGGTTTCTAGCAACAGTGAGCTCCTGACGCACCTATCACCCACTTCTGATGACAGCTGTGCTTGGGAGCCTGCGGTCCCTCCACATAGGAAGTACACCTATTTCCAGATATTAGCTAAGTGTGTGCTTGACCCATCGCCTGATCCCCAAACATTCCGATTGACTTGGCTTGTAACTTCATAATTAGTTAAGCGACCCCTGTGTAAAAGAAGTTATATTATACTAGATAATGAGGGAGCAAGTAGCGCTGAACTACCTTATCACTGCTATTTTAGCATTGTAGCCCTAGGGCGGTAATGTAACCATGTATCTGTGAAACCTTTCCGGAAGGCAAGTCTCGTAATTATCGATAAGTGCACTCGAAATCCTAGAGATGGGGTAGGCGTGGCCGCCTACTTCAACTAAACGTGACGGTGGTTGTGCTTCTGGAGAGCTCTTTTCTTTTTGACATAATTGTGGTCGTGTCTCTGTCCAATACAGAACAAGATGACAGTTGACTCGAACTGGATTATCCCACGAGTAACCCATTCTATGCCATGTTCCAATGCCACGCCTGCTCTGTCTCAGGGATAAGGGGTGTAATTATTGACATACACCACGGATGAGCTCTGTCTCCCTACGGAAGATATTAACTCCTCTCAGCATATTTTTATCATTAGCTCGTTGAGTGTGCTGAAAAGATACTCTACTTAAGTCCCACATCCCACAGCTCTCGCAGCACTACTCGAAATAGGTCTAATCTTTAACTACACACATATCAGGGTATTACTATTATAGGACCTGTTTCATCTTAACTACTGAAAAGGGATAAGCTGTTAAAGGCATAAGCCACGATAATTTGGTATTTGCTCTAAAGTAATAGCAGGGATGCTATACAGGGGGGGGCCAAAAAAAAGTCATTTTGCCTCCATGACTTTCAAGGCGCTATAAGTTACACTTTATTAAATTTTTATCGGACATTTTTACTACCATATTAAAGAGCACATTAAATACTATAATGATACTCCGCCACAGCCTTCTGGAGGAGCGCCATCGAGAGATTCGGCCGCGCGAAAGTGAGTGGGTACCGGAGTTGAGCGAGATCGTTGATTTCTCCGCCACTGTAGACCACCCTGTTGAGCTCCGCCCGAACCGAGTAATTGAGGGGGTTTAGTTCAGGACCCCCGCTTAAATACTCCATCTTTTCCAGGTACTCAACTCCCTTCCATTCTAAGTATTCGAGTTTTTCCAACGAGCCTCGATTTCATGTGGTGGCACCCAAACCTGTAGCAGTACAAAGTTTCCAAGAAGGTACGGGCGACGACATGAAGATGGGATATTCTCCTCGAGTTGCTCGATGTAGCCACCAGCGCACACCCTCAGTCTGGGGCCCACGAAGAAAATATCGGTTCATCCATTCCAGGTACGGCCGGTCCACACCATCAACCCGCGCCTTGGTGAATGGGGTGAAGATGATGTCCTGGACCGTAGCGACGTTGCCGGAGCTGCTCGATGTTTGAGGTCTTGCAGATCAAGAGTACTGGTCTCCAGGTAGCTATCCATGGGTGATTCCATTCAAGAAGTTCCGCAGCTGTTTGGAGGCCACGTGAATTCCAAAGGCGTTCTCCACTCAGGCCGCGACTGGAGATGACTTCATATTTTGGTGTACATGAAGGTGAATGGCGGCAGCCGGCTCCTGCTTATAGAGGAAGATCTTGGGTATCTTCCGCCCTGGTACTCATATCCACTTCCTCTGTCTGGGCTGCGAAAACTTCGCTCATATGTGACTCGGCCGGAATGACTTTTTTTTGGCCCCCCTGTATGTTGAAAAGTGATGGAAAGCGAAGCCGAAGTCAAAATCTGCGAAAAATCTTTCTTCTGCTCAGCATTAGACGTGTATTTTTGGAGGAGTTTCCCGTTGGCGTCATGCCCTGAACCACTTTGGTAGGTACAACTGCACGTCTGTATTCATACAGTCGTCATCCTTGCACTTGATAGTCAATGTCAGTGCGGCTGCGTGCGGCGCGGTCGCCCGCACCCGTACTGCACCAATCGTTGAACCAGGAAGTGACATTACTGTATTATATCCTTCGTGTTACTCGTTTTCTATCACTTTTTGTCGCATACGCGTTTCAACGAAAAGGCTGAGAAGGCTTCAAACAGTGTGCACGCTCCTTCTCGCCGACACGCCCCTATCAAGTGCAAGGATGACGACTGTATATCCAAGCAGCAATGCTTCATATCCATTGTTTTCCATAAATGAAGCGACAAGAGTCCCAGCGTCGATGTGATTATGTGGCATTTGTGGGCGGGCGGTTGCGGTGGGCGTCTGGGTCGCCAAATTGCACCTTGGTTAGGCGCTATAACGGCGCACTTGGTTGGAAAAGGCGCCCCGCAGTGCCTGCTGAGGGGCTCAATATCCTTTTGTGCTAGGCGTATCAACCCTTCACTCCTTGTCGATTTATCCTGCCACACGGCTTAAGCCAGGCCACGTTTGAATTATTTAGGAAGTACCGATTTCTCACCACATTCTGAACTTCATAAACCTTCTCGGGCCTCAGTTATCCCTTACAACACCCTCAAAAAATCCGTGAAAAAGATCAGATACGCATCGACTGATCTCCGACTCTGCATCTTCGACCCCACTTTACTCCACTTGGGCGGATTCAATCATCTAACTGAATAATAGTGGACAGCACAGACAGAACCCTGTTCACAGCAGACAAACATAAAAATTCGAAGACTAACCGTTCGAAATCAGATTTGCCGACCGACAACTGAGAGCGTAACAAGCAGCGAAACAATCAGCTGGGCTGAAATAAACTTTAATCGCCTATGTAGTTTACTCCCTCAATATATTTTACTATAACGATAATTAGTGAGGCTCTGGTCAGAATCGCCCAGGAATCTATCTCGACAAAGAAAGGGACAAAGTTTTTCAGGATGGAGGAAGCAATGGAACGACTGCTCCACGTCATGTCTGCGCCCTACCACCGCAACATTGTCCGAGATAGCTTTGAAAAATCCAAGGAGATCGATTGCAAATAGGAAAGCGGCCTATCCACCCTTTTTGCACGCTATCTCGGCGAAAGGGAGCAGACGAGCAGACAGGACATGGCATAATCGCGACGCAGCGCTCCCTACCCTACCGACTTCTTCCCAGAAATTGTAATGATATCCTTAAAAAAATCAGATTCATACTAACTCTTTCACGTAGATGCTTTTTATTAACTTTTGTCCTTGGAACGCGGTTTGATACATGGCGCTGTATGTGCACCGTGCTGAGGGATATGCGGTAGTCGACTCGCTTTCGTCCTCCGTTGTCGTTGCGGCCTGGAAATGATAGGTCCTAGGACAGTTCCCAAACATAGAATGGTTTAATGATAATTACTTTTGTAGTCGTTGTGGTAGTAGTGGTTGTGGTTGTTGTAGTCTCAGGTTCTTTCCACTTTTTTTTCTTCGCGTCAAATTTCATATTTCGGGAGCCAGAAATCCGTGATGGATGCCGTGCTTCTCTGGAAGAATGAGCTTACGTCAAGACTGGAATTAGCCTTCTCACTTCAGAAGCATCAGATTCTCAGGCACTATTTACAATATAGCTCCACGCCCCGAAACTCAGGCCGGATTTTGGTCTGTATCTTCCTTAGCAGTGGATTTTAATAAACTTTACTGCACAACCGGATCAAATGAATACGAATAGCGGACCCCTTGAAAGAGAACGCCGGATATATAGTTGATATCGTAGTGATCAGTCGGGGCGTTGTCAGGAGAGGCGGAATGAGCCCGCTTCCGCTTTGCTCTACCATTGGTATCGTTAGTTACCAGTTTAGTGAGAAAGCGACTAGTGGTCGGGTGGGCTAAGTCCATCACTCTTGATACCGCTCCGACTGATAGCGACAAAATCTGCTGCAGTCATCATATCTGCATTTGATAGGGCGTAGGACAAAGGCTTAAGTTGGAGCGCACTCAGGGCAGATTTCCCACCAATTGTAGCAGACTCAGAATGGCATCACTTTCGATACAAAGCCGCCGTGGCTGCGCCCAATGTGCGCTGCGCCACCGCCCTATCGGCTGCAGGCTGCACTCTAGCGCATTTGTGACGTGGCGATGGCAGCAAAAGAGGCGGGGGAGTATCAGTCCAGGGTCCAGCTCACTCAACGCGACAATGCTGCTTCAGGTCGATTAGCCAGGAAGTACTCTACTAATTCGCGCTTTGGACGTCATGAACTACACTGTGAAAACGAGTAGCTCACGCACTACAGACGCCAACGTCACAGGCCAATCGTGCCGGCTCTAGTAAGTAGGGTTCAAACTTCGATTCCAGTCTGCGGCCTTTACAGTATTGACGCCCTCTTGCAGTTGAGCGCGCTGCGGCGTGTCGTCGGCGCGCTACAACTGCAAGAGGGCGTCAATACTGTAAAGGCCGCAGACCGGAATCGATTGGCCCTAGCGCCCACTGTGATTCATACCAGAGTGAGGATTACACAGAGGCGGGGATGATCGATTCCCGTCTGCAGCTGCATTCGCGTTCACAAGGTCGTAGCGCTCGCTCTTGCAATTGTAGCGCGTTACAGCACCTTACAGCGCGTCGACGCGCGTCATCGCGAAGTATGAGCGCTACGGTAACGCATGTTACAGTGTTCTCGCTCTGAGCGAATATGACCCTCCTGTCTAATCGGTCAAACAACTCCTTGAGACAGATTCCCAGCACATCTGGTTATGTTGACGTGTAAATAGTGCCTAATTTCGTACGTGCCTAATTTTGTACAGCTTTTACATCTGGGAAGGAAAGGTTCACATACCCGTGTTGACCATCTGCAGGTGAAGCTTTTTTGGATGAATCGCCCGTGAAGTCTTCTGGCTGAAACGATATCTTTTGGAGAAAACTGTACCACAGAACTCTGCTTCAAAAAATACTCAATGGAAAAATACTAGTTCTAGTTTATATAAGAGTACGGGTCTTTGTGGAGCGATTTTCAATTTTCTCTTCTAAAAAGGAATATAGGCTTCGCAATTTGATCTTGTTCATTACGGATCAATTAAGTAATGCGGAACCAGTTTGTTGATCTCACATTAGTTAGTCGTAATAAGCGTGATTATCATACGTCACTCACTTCGAATCAATTAAAAGGGAAAATCAGCCGATTCCAAGAATGGTGTAACCATAGTAAAAGCAAAGCTCATTCATGAGAAAACTCGATTATGAATTTCTGAGAAGAACGATACACGATTAAGTGAACACTTCTTAATTGATGTGTTGAGAACAGAAATCAAGACTTTTCGAATATGTTCATATCTTATTGAAATTACCCATGTTTTTGGGATGGGGCGTTCAAAGGTAGAGGTGATGTGACGAAGTGGCAAGTGGTGCGCTTACCACGCACGCGGTCCGGCGGTCAAATCCCGTACCAGCTCCCAGCCAGGCCAAACAAGCATTCTAATCCACGGAGACGGTAATCGGTACAAGTTCGTCTGGAAGGATAGGAAAACTTACGGCTGGCCCCTGAAAATCATTGTATAGGCCCATCGCATTAAGAAAGATACTACGATTTTGAATGGAAGTAGAATGCGTGCCGCATCCTGAAAAGGACCGATCAAAAGCGAAGACTTGGTTCTCTAAGGAGCACTTACTAGCATGGCTGCAGAGACGTAAGTCACTAAAATTTCCATACACCGACAGCTTTTTTTCCCTTTTTTGACATATTCTAACCCTCCTTTTCAGGTATTTCTGCTCACACACGGTCTCTGAAATTTCTTTTATTGTTCATTGATCTAAAGGAGAATCGCTATTGATAGAAACCCTCCCAATAAGAGATAACAACTTTTGCCGCATTCACCTCGAACTTCAACCTAACAAGCGCTACAGAAGGTCACACTGGTTCAAGCAGCACGGATGACACATTACGGTAATTGCTAGACCAGCCATAACTACAGCTTTCTTGCTCGGTCGTACTTGCTTAGAATATTAGAAGGGATGAAAGTTTTCCGATTCTGATAAACTTTCGAATTCTTCTCGAAAATCGAATGCGGGGCGCATTCTCTGTTATGTTCATAATAGCGTGGCAGCAGACTAAGAATTTCGATGGTCGGGAGTATTTCCGTACACTTTTTCAGGGCTTAAGATGGTTCAATAAAAAGTATCCCCCTTTTCCGTACAAATCACCTATAATAGTGACTTGTGGGCGTAAGGGTGTGTGCTGGTTTGTGGGTGTGTGGGTGTGTGGTTGTGTATGTGGGTTTATGGGTGCGCAGGTGTGGATAGGTGTGGGTTGCGTTTGGGTACATGTGGGTTATACGTTAGGTGATTTGGCGGGTATGGGGGTGTGAGGATGGTGTGTGCCTATGTGGTGTGGGTTCGCGGGTAGTTGGATGGGTATGTGGGTGGGTTGTGAGGTTGTGAACAACCCAACCACACACTCATCCTACCACACATGGGTGAGGGTTGCGTGTAGGTTACGTGTGCCATACAGGGTTACCTGTGGGTTGATGTGGGGGGTGGTCCCTATTCAAGTGTGTAAAGGTCATCCCCATGGCTTTGGATGCAAAGTGTGTGCTGTGTGTGTGTGTGTGTGTGTGTGTGTGTGTGTGTGTGTGTGTGTGTGTGTGTGTGTGTGTGTGTGTGTGTGTGTGTGTGTGTGTGTGTGTGTGTGTGTGTGTGTGTGTGCATAGGACGTCTGGGCTGATTTTCTACGAGAAAAACCCCCACCCAAGTTTTTAGTGAGAAAACCCCTACCCTAAGAGGTTCACTCACTTTATCGCAATAAACGGCTCGCAATATAAACCACTTCCGTTAGCCGTGTTTTCCCACAGCGGCGCAGTTCAAAGCGTACGTCTGCGAAAACTGTATTTATCGCGACGGTGTTAATAGGTCAGTATAAGTAAACATGTTGTTTCCGTCAAGCAGAGCGGAGTTTTCGCTTTTGCGATAAGAGAACGGTGAATCTACTAAATGTAGATTTGATCTGTTTCGCGGTTTATTCCTATATTTCGTTGAGATATATTACTGTGAAAATATGTGATTAATATTGGGGTAAGGGAAAGGGAAAGGTGCTCAAATTAATAAGCGAAGAAGGAAAAAAGGGGAGAAGGAGGGGGGGGGGCAAAGAAACATGAATGGCACAATGGTGAAATCTCCTATGTCTGGTCGGCCGAGCCGTGCACGTTTTGGTGAGAATTACCAAATCCGTTCTAGAAAGTTGCAAAGTTGCCCCTCACTTCACTCGAAGATTCGAGTATTTTTTTCTGGAAAATTAGATACAGGCTAATTGCGGGCTCCAGTTGGACACTGAAATTGAAAGGGTCGTTCTGGAAGCAGCACTGTACGACTGGCAAATCTCCACTCATGCCATGGCATGCGGTGATGGTAAGCAGTAACTCGTAATCAAAACGTATCACTTTAACTTTTGTCCTTCAGCGGAGTTGTGGCCGCTTTGGTGACAGGACACGGTTTCTTTGGCGCACTACTGCCTTCTTCACTTTCCGCTTCAGGAATCATGGAGCGGACGGTTTTTGGTTTTTGTTTCACCCTTCGATGAACCGTATCCACGACTGGTTCTTCACTACTGGTTCGATTTTCTGAATTCCGCTTTGGTGGCGACGGCTTTTTCCTGGAGAGCGAGGATTTCATGAACAAGTCCGACAGCCACATAAAAGGATAAAGGGTCAAATCTCCGCTGCTAATCAATCTCCTTTGTGGGATGCGGCACGCATTCTACTTCCATTCAGAATCGTAGTGGCTTACTGAATGCGATGTGGCCTATACGATGAGCAACGGGGAAAACCCGATGTACAAGTCAATGTGCTCATACTCCTACTGGTAAAAGTTTGCCTGGGGCGGGGTACAGTACCCTAGACTGCACGTAAAACTGAGTGCGTAGAAGCTGCAAGTGCACACAGCGCCACTTAGATTTTGCTCAGCCCTCTGGCTAGAGGTGGAAAACGAAATAAACGTCACTCTCTCTTCCTCCTCACCCTTTTAATATTTCTACAATAGACAGAGGAATCATGCTGAAGCTAATGAATTTAAAAGAACTGCATTATACTGTTCTATATAGTAACAGTGGTAACCTACTTTCTTATTGACCATCGGTACCTTTGATGAAAGCCCTGGGATATCCTCGCGTTTCCTCATCTATAAGAAAAATAAACAATACAATGTATAAAAATCAGCTTTGTAGGCAAGGTTAACAAATCCTCTACAGACTATTCGAAAAGTTAAAATTTTATTATATGATTATATGATCAGGCCTGAAGTCACCCTCATTATGAAGCCATCGCGATGACTTACAGAAACAAAGACTTTTCACTCCACCCAACACAAAAGCGACTGCCTCTCTCTCAACATCCGCTAGTCAGCCCACTCCTGCGACTGCTGTCCTATTGTCGGCCTTGCTTACGTCTAGAACCGAAATCTTGGCCGACAACCTCACGCCTGTCTCACTTGCTCATCTGTCGGTGCATAGCTCCCCCGGCCTTCGGGTAGTGGGCTCGTGACCATACCCGCCCCTCCCCCTCGTGCGCTCCTTCCGTCCCCGCGCGGGCCGCATCCGCTGTTCACCAACCCTCAGACGTTCTTGGTCCCCCTACCTCGTCCCTGGCTATTCCGGGTAGAAAAACACCCTTACCAGCTGTCTTCTATAATATTGAATTATGATTAAGTGTATTGCACGTGCTACACGGTATCCAATGTTTGGAACATAGCTTTCGAGCCCTACATAAAAAAGTTCTCCGCGCTTAAGGGGTCATGCGTCCTTCCTTGCTCAAGTAGCCTGGCCCTCTAGCTCTGGAATTGTGCCACTTTAGGCTTCACAGTAAGTAACGAAGGCGTTGTGGCCCTCAAAAGTAGCAATTCTGACGCCTTACGCCAGTTCTGAGCCCAGTTGTCCCGCCCAGCAAAATGCAAAGGCTAATTTCCGTCATGAGTGCAGTTTTTACACCGCATTTTTCATTTTTTCAATGTTGTATGGTGTTTGTATTGGATAAGCCAGGTAGCGATTAATGATCCAGAGGCGGCAGGATATCGCTTCGCTGACATGAAGCGAGCAGTACCGAAGGACTCGTCCAGCGAGGCTGCAACACCCCCGCTTAGGTTGTTGTCCACAACTTTCTTTGCTTATTTTTTCTTTTCTGGAGAGTCACTCAGCAACTACAGTTTCGAAATTGAACTAAACTATCCACAATATACAATCGCGGGGTTCGCCTTCGATGGTCCCGTGACATAAAGTGTCCTATAAGGCAGAGTTCCAGCGCAGAAACTTTAAGCTTTTGCTGTAGTAATAGTTAAATAGCGCCAGTTTCAAGAGCGTTGGTGCGATCCTCTCCCCGTTCCCTCGTAAGGGACCCCTGGAGGACAATGTGCCCCGACTGCCTCCAGAATTCTTAACAAGAGAGACCACGCTGAATTAGGCGCTAAATTTTGCATTACCAATGAGTTGGTGAGTAAAAGTCTAGAAGTCTATTGCGATTTCTAAACAAAAACTTGCAGGAATGATATTGCGAGTTCACACTACTTCCAAGAACATTCCCCTAAACTTCTCTATAAATTTCAGACTTTAAGATATTAGAAAAAAAATAGCAGATATCTCTTGAAAAACTGTGTCAACCCAGAAAATATCCATTCTACCTCTTCAGTCGCCCTTGACTGGTCAACCTCATCGTGTTCGTTATCTCTGGACTTCAAGCTCGGCGTCGTTGTCGTTTCCTTTGTTCCTATTTCATGATCCGAACCGGGACCACGACTGTTTTCCTGCCCTCCTTGTGGACTCTGATAAATATTTGAAGTATTAAGTAAATATTCAAAGCATTGAGCAACTGATCTTTTTATAAATACTGAGAAATCTACTGTGCCTTTCACTACCTCGAATGAGTCGGAGCAATAATCGGCCAGATATTGTGCACGAATATCATCTAGAAAAAGTTAACAATAAATTTTTGCAGAGCTTGGACTAAGGGCTGAGAATTCTGAATAACACAAATATTCTACTAGATATTTACGAATAGTGGAGCCCATTCTGTTGAAATATTTCAAAATTACCTCGCGTTGCGCATCTATGTTCGAAATAACTGCGTTTCTGTGAACTTGGTACATAGTTGAAATTTTCCGAATTCGAAAACCTGAAACAGCAATTTTGCTAATTTAACACGTTAGAATTTCTGCTCTTGTTCTCTATTGTGAATGCGAAACTTCTGGGAATTTATATGAGAGCCCCGCATAGACAGGTGGTCGTGTCCCATGTGGTCTAGTGGTTAGGATTCGTGGTTTTCACCCACGCGGCCCGGGTTCGATTCCCGGCATGGGAAGATGTTTTGCAGTATCATTCACAGTTTGGAAAGCAACACTTTGCAATTCGAAAGTTGTATTTACTGAGTTGCACTTACTTTTCCCTTCACACAGTTATTGTGATGAAGTAAATTAGACTATCCACACCTGGGCCGAGAAAAAAATAGGAGCGCAGGTGCAAAGAAACTTGAGATGATAAATATATAGCAAGAAGGGGGCAACCCCTCCTAAACTGAGTCATTGTTGGGAATGAACGACCCTTTGAAAAGGTCCAATGCTTTGCAGTTTGTGAATCATCCCCGAAATTAAAAGGGTTCCACGCACAAGATATGAACTGAACTTCTAAAATGACCTCTGACCTGTTTTGCTTATTTATTAAACAGGTATTGCTGTCGAAGTAGTACTGGAAGGATTGACATGCTTCACCATACCTAAAACTTGCATAATAAGTAAGGAAATAATACATTCGATTTTGTGAGCTCACCTCGATTCCCCAGTCAAACAGCGACATTTACATTCTTGATGACTTATCATTGTCTCAATTGCAAGAGCTGTCCCCTCCAAAACAAAGTCTGACAGTTCCAAAAAGCACTTGTCAGAGTTCACTGAAACAACAAGTGCTAGG